TACATATATATATACGTTTTACTGGTTTTGTTCCTCTAGAGAATCCAGACTAAGACATGATTCTTCTCTGAACTGCCATCACCTCTTCTCTTGGAGTCCTCAGCTTTGGCCCCTGGATGTGTGAAATCCAACCTTAAAAGTTTATGCCCCATATAATTTTAAAGCTCTTGCTGTCCATCATGGCACCTTCAGTTACTTTCTGTTTCTGGATAGAAGTACCTGTAAACCTCATTTGCAGAGCAGAGATAATTGATAATGACTTAGATCTAATGAGTGTGCAGGTCATTCGGGCTCTTCCTCTTACCTTGTTCCTGACAGATTCCTGCTCAGTTTTAGAGATTCAGTATGATATCACCTTCCCAGGAAATCTTTTAGATCTGGATTAGGTTAGACCACAGCCTTCTGTGCTTCCTCCAAGGATAACATTTATCACACTGGGTTCTAATTACCTTCTTCCTTCATGCCACAAATACTTAATGAGTACCCACTATTTCTGACACTACGTTAAGTGTTACAATGGAGAGCAAAATGGATGCAATTCCTGTGTCCATGGCACTTTAAGAGGGAACAAACATTAATCAAATAATCATACTAATGAGTGCATAAACTAAAATCGGAGTGGTGAGCTGAAAGAAAGGCATATCAACCCTTTGAAATCAAATAAGAAAGAAATATAACCTAGACTCAAGGATTGGTAGTCTGGGGAGACTTCCTCAAGGAAGAAATTGCTTGAGCTGAGATCTGAAAGATGAGTAAGTATTAACTGGTAATAAACCGAAAAAAAAAAAAAAAAAAAAAAACCCAAACTCACTGCCATCAAGTCGTTTCCAACTCTTAGCGACCCCATTGGGTTTCTGAGGCTGTAAATCTTTACAGAAGTAGATCATCACTGGTAATAGAGGAGATAAAAGAATTCTGGACCAGGGGACTAGCATGTGGAAAGGCCCTGTGGCAGGAAGAACATACTGACTCTGACAAGTTGAAAGAATTCCAGTGTAACTGGACCTCAGATGGAGAGGGAAAGAAGTAAGGCTAAATCAATGCTCAAACATACACCATATGTCGCCTTGTGGACTGAATTAAGGATTTTACAAAGGACGTTGCAAATTGTTGGCTACTTTTATGAAGCAAAAAAATTCCTACAAACCTTAAATCTACTGATGAGCCAAGCTCTCCAGGAATCTCTAAAGTACCCCTCTTTATGGAAACAATCAATCTTATCATTGTCCTGGCAAGCCTAAGTAGGAGAGACATGGCCTAGATTTATAATGCTTGGCTCAGGGCCCCACTAGTGATGAGGAAAAGACATTTGTTAGCTCCACGCATCACTTTCATGCATCTGCTGCTATATGAATGTCCAGAAAATTTCCCGAACAGCAGAGAAATTTAAAGATTTGAGTAATTGAAAAGCCTTATTCTCTCCCCCCAGGTACATTGTTGGGAATGAATAGATAATTGTCTAGATTGGATTCAGTGAATGAGATGGCACATGAAAAACCAAGTGCAGCTAGGAACTTCATAGTAAAGAAACAATGTGATCTGCTTTAAATTGCTGAGAATTAATACCCAATCCTTTCTTCAAACTTCTGGTCTCAATCACAGCCAATTCTCTGTGATGCATCTTCCCCAGAATGAATCTCCTGAGAACTAAATGAAGCAAGAGAGCATAGAGAGTGAATTTTGCTCAATAATAGAAGGATTTGGTAAGAGTCAAAGTGATTCAAAAATGAAATGGACTATCTCAGATGTTGTTGTTGTTCTTCATTGCCATTGAGTTGATTCCAACTCATAATGACCTCATGTGTGCAGGGCAGAACTGTTTATAGAGTTTTTAAGGCTGTGACTTTCTGGAAGCAGATCAACAGGCCTATCCATTGGGGCACCTCTAGATGGATTTGACCTCCAACCTTTTGGCTGGTAGTTGACCACTTCACTGATTGTGCCACCCAGGAAATGGTGAGTGGAAAATTTCAAAAATAGTGTAGAAGACCACTTGAGAAATGTTCTAGAGGATATGCAAGCATGTGGGTTGGTCTACCTGCATTTTTCACTGCAAGGGAGGAAGAAAAGCTGACCAAAATTGATCAAGTGGAGGAGAAACTGAAGACATAGCTTGCATGAGGGCCTGCAGCAGGAAAACAGGTCACTGACAACCTGGTGACCACTGCAGAAGATTCCAGGATGGAGGCCCTTGGGCAGTTTAGCCTGAGGAATATCAAGACCATAGGGAACCTCAGAGTAGAGCACAAACACTAAAGGGTAGAAGGTACACCATTCATTCATTCATTCACTCATTCATTCAACAAATATTTATTGAATACCACCTTGTGCCAGGCACACTGCTATGTCTGTTGGGGGAGATAGCAATCATGAAAATAAGGCCACATCCTTCCCTCTGTGGAGCTTACAGTCTCAGGGATGGTGTGTGTATGTGTGTGGGGGACACAAACAATAAACAATAAAAATAGCAAAATATGTAGTACAGTAAAAAGTAATAAGTGAAAGAAAAAAAGAGGGCTAGGGTGTGTTGGTAGAAGTGGAGTACAATTTTAGAAAGGATGGTCAGGGCAGGTAACATGTGAGTAGACATTTATGGGAGATTGGGGAGGGGCGAATTCTGCACAGAATGAGAAGAAATGCAAAGACTTGAGGTGGTTGAGTGCCTTGTGGGTTTGAGGAATGTTAAGGAAGCCAGTGTGTAGGAAAGTAGTAGGAGATGAGTGTGGTGGGGATGGTGGTAGGAAGAGGGAGGTCAAATCAAGGACCTTATGGCTTAGGCATTTACTGAGTGAGATGGGAAGTCCTGGAGGATTTTGCCCATAAGAGAGATGTCCTCTGATCTACCTTTTATGGTCACTGTTGGGTTACTGTGTTAAGAACAGACTGAAGGAAAGCATAGTGGAAACACAGAGACACAATTTTATGTAATCCTGAGGAAATAACTAGTCAGTGGGTGGAAGAGGCTGACTTTTCTACCCACCTATCTAACCCAACTGATGGTCTACCAGTGTTGGGCGTTACAGTCAGCAGCCTGTCATTGGAGGTGGCAGCAGAGGCCAGGGATATTAATGCTGGGAAATTCCTACATCAAATATGGCACTAGACCCTATGACATCCCAGATTCCTCCCAATGTTGAAAGTCTGTCATTCTGTAGCATGATCACATTAATCTCTGACAACTAGAAAATAAGCTCCATGAGGACAAGGAGTGGTATCTATTCTGATCATGGCTGTATTCTCAGTGCCTGGAGTGTAGCAAGCGTCCAAAAATATTCATTGAATATATGAATGACTGTTAAATGTATTGCAGGGCCTTGAGCAAGGCACATCTCTGTACTTCGGAGAATAAAATAGTTAGATTGGATGGCTTCTGATGATCTTTCCAAATCTGCCAGTCTGTGGTCCCCATTTCAAGCACTGGGCCATTTTTTTCTAAAGGCCTTTGCAGGCACAGAGGGACTCTTTCGGGGAGGAAGGGAAGAGATGGGGAAGGTAACAGCTGAACTGAGGAGAAGTGCATGGACAACCACGGGGGCTGGGGATCAAGGGCACCTTCTGAAAACAAAGGTGAATTGTCCTGCTTGGGAGTCATGGGTTCTAATTCAGATAAGGGATGTTTCACAGGAAACTGAGGGTACAGGACACTGAGGCTCCATCTCAAGCATGTTGCCTTTGCTCCAAATGAGTCAGCCTGGTCAACAAGCTGCCCACTGGCCCCAGAAGCTCTCTTGGGAAAAAAAAAAAAAAAAGCATAAATAGCATCAGGGACTCCATTTAAATGTAATCAAAAATACATTTTTAATCTTGGTGAAGTTCATAAATGACAAGGTTGATATTTCTTTAAACAAAGAGTTCAGTCAAGGTACAGCATTACTATGTGTCCCCAGATGCCCAAGAGGCAGTGATTTCACATCCCCCTGAGGTTTAGCAGAGCTAAAACAACAGGATGGCTGATGGGGGCCAGATTTGCTACCAGATAAGCCAATGAGACATGCTGTCATATTTATTGGGTACTGAATCAAATATAAAAAGATACATACTAGATAAATACAATGAGCTTATCTTACATTTAGTTTTAGTTCCTTTCAAACGAAGACAGTTTTCAATATTAAGAAGGATGCAAATACTGTATCTTCCATGGAACCTTTCCTCTAAGTGGTTTTCATTACAAATGAAGTTTTCAGCTTCATGATGACCTAGGAGGGAGAAAAATAGGTAGCATTTACTTTCTTATTGATTGTCAGGACCTTGACAAATATCTCATGTACTCTTTTCAATCATGCTAGGAGATTGGTACTATTGTTTCTCTTGATTTACAGATGGAAAAACTGAGGCCCTGAGAGGTTAAGTGATAGCTCATGGTCCTATAGTTAGCGAGGGGCAAACACAGGTCTTGAACCCAAGATGCTTTTACTTCAGAGGTACATGACATTGTAGTGTATGTGCTAAAAAGATAACGTCATTATATTTCAAACTCAAATGCAAGAATAATGGCAGTTATAAATGCAGGGAATAGGATTTTAAATAAACCAGTTTAAAAATATAAGAAACAACTGGTTACCATCAAGTTAATTCCAACTCACAGCAAGCCCATGTGTATCAGAATTGAACTGTGCTCCATGGAATTTTCAATGGCTTTTTCAGAAGTAGATTGCTAGGTCTTTCTTCTGAGCTGCCTCTGAGTGGACTCAAACTGCCGACCTTTAAGTTAGCAGCTTAGCATGTTAACCATTTGTACCATCCAGTGACTTCTTTAATTAACCAGATCTATATTTTCTAGCCTGATGACACAAATTCTAGGGGTTTCAGATATTGGAACCCTCTCCAGTCATTGCATCTTGCCTTTCTCAAACACACACACACACACACACACACACAGGAGTAGGAACCTTCCCCCAAGGACATTTTTTTTCCAACTATATGGGCCTAGTGTGTGTTGACTACACCTCTTCAGTACCCCATCATCATCCATCCTCTTGTCCAACAGTACAATGGCAGTCACCTTCTTCCTGGAGCCCCTCAGCTGCTCAGGCCTGAAGGTCCCTGCGGCGCCGGCCAAAGGCATTGGAGCCCACGTCAGTGGGCACGAAGTTGCTCTTCACCATACCCCCTGACCTGCTCAGCAAGCCTGCCAGCCGATGGGTCACACAGGTGGCAGTGTTGCAGGATCTCTTCTGGGCAGTGATGCTGATTTGCAGGACAGAGGAAGAAGAGAAGATCTGTCAGGGAGAGGCTGAGGGAAGGATCCTGCCCCGTGGGAGCATCATGGTAAAGTTGCTGTTCTGAGAGGCACCAATTAGCTTAAGTGTTTCTCCTAAACATAATTATCAACACAAAAAATCACAAGGGCCATTAGGGAAAATGCCAGGCTTCTTCCCATAGACATTCCCAAGGGTGTTGAAAAACCAAAGGTGACCCTGGGTCACTGTCCATGGAATACAGAGCTATAAAAGCCAACCTTTCCTGAATAAATGGGCTGAAAATCAGCAAAGTCATCTGGGACTAGAGCAAATTATGATGGCATACTCAACCCCACTGAAGCTCATAAGAACTATTAGAAGCCACACCTCAATCACAGCCACCAAATATCTCTTCTTAGGATAATAAAAATTCCGAAGTCTTACCTGGAAGAGGAACAGATTTTGCAGCATCCAATCCCAGAGGTGCTTACCTGCTCCTTGGCACATCTGTTCTTGATGTTTGAGCTGGTTCACAGGGACCACCCACCAAACCCTGTGCCAGCTACTCTGGATCTAAGGCCACTTCTAAGCACAGGTCCTAGGCACCATGAACCCTGGGCCATGGGCCAGAGCAATGACCACTACAGCTCAGGTCTTTGTAGAAAAATAGTTTTATTCCCCAAATGACGAGCATATTTGGAAAGAAGACTAGGAAATTCTGCTAGGAAATCCTTTCAGAAGGCTGCCTTCTCTCTTATCTCTTCCTAGGTGATTCTCTTCCAGCCTGTGAGTCCCACTCCCTCTCCCATCTGAGGTTCCGGATATCCTCTGCCACAGGAAAGCCACTGATGCCAGCCCGAAGAGCAACCAGAAAGGAACCACATGCATCAAGTTATAGGAAGGAAGCAAGAAAGGAAATTAGAAGGGAGATGGGGGAGTTTAGTTGGAATCCGGGATCATGCCAAACTGAGGGCGGTGGTCTCTCTCCAAGCTGCTGGCCACATCCCTTCTCTTGCCAGGTGCTCCAACCCCAATTGCAGTTTGGGGAAACGTGTGAAACTTGTTCAGGTCCTGCGTGTATGTGCCCAGCACGCAGGTACTCAGATTACCGCATCGTTTAGTTCTGGGGCTGTCCAGGCTGCGGGGAGAAGACATGCCAGACAGTACCATGCACCGGAATTCAGTTACACAGAAGGTTAGACCAGAGGCACTTCATGCTAGGTTGAGGGACGAGCAGTTGGGCACCTCACACACCCTCTATCAGGAGATTCTGAGGTATATTGGGCCAGAGCATTGTGCGGAAGGCCAGGGGTGGGGAAGGGGTGCCCTTTCCCTGCATTCCACATGCTGTTCAGCCCTTCATGCTCTGCAGAGGGGGTTTTCATGGCAGATGCAGGTGCAATGCATGCCTCTTCTGGGCAGTACTGAGGCCAGGTCAGGGGGAGGGCTCTGCTCCAAGCTCAGGGTCCACTTGAGGTGGGGTGGGCAAGAGTACTCTCTCTGCCCCTCTGACAACGTGCACATCTCCACAGGTGATCTGCAGAGAGCAGGCAGATCCTACACATCTAAAGATCTCACACTTATCTCAGACACTGCTTTATTGGCCTCACCCTCTGCAAGGCCTTCATCTTTACTTGCAATGTGAAATGAAGGCTCCTTGCAGGTGTGAAAGAACATGCAGGTTAATCAAATGGAAACAAATTTCTAAAAGATCCTGAGATACACAAGTCCATCTCCTGACCTCACACTTACCAGTCCTAACTCATCCAGTGCTGGGAGGTCTCCTCCATATGGCCAGACCAATTCCAAGAGTAAGCAATTCCATACCTTCACATTTCCTAACAGCCTTTGGAAGTAGAATTTTTAATACAGTCTAACCATAGTCCCTCCAGCTGTGGCAGGATCTCTGTCATCAGCCTGAAAACAGCTGAGCCCCAGGCCCTGATGAACAGTGATAGCCTGCTGGACTTCTGGTCAGGTGTGTTCCCTCATACCTCTTGGGATCTGTCTTGGATGTGTCCGGAGGATGGGGAGGCTTTGTGCTGGCGAGGCTGGGAGCCTTACCTGGAGTCCTCAGTCTCCTGTTCCAGCTCACTGGCTTTCATTTGCACAAAGTCTTTCACCAGTGCAGCCAGCAGGAGGCGCGCTTCCTCCTCGCTGAGTGTAGTGGGGTCTGGGATGCTCTCTAAAGACCTAGGGAGAGGGAGCAAACCCCATTCAGGCCCAGAAACCTCTGCCTGCCCCTCCCCTGGATAAACAACCATGAAGATATGGTCTCCTTGACTCTCTGGTATATAGAGCCTATATCCAGTGTCCATCCAAGGATGCTGTTTTACTAAGAGCCAAGCCCTGGTTTGGCCTCCAAGTAGTGATGTGCTGGAGCCAGGTCTTAACAACTTGTAAAAGCTGATGCTTAAATTTCCAGGAATTTTGCAAATTGAGTGTTAAACATACCAAACCAAAAACGAAACTCATTGCCATTGAGTTGATTCTGATTCATAGCGACCCCCATTAGGTTTCCAAGGTTATACATCTTTATGGAAGTAGATTGCCTCCTCTTTCTCCCATGGAGCAGAAGCAGACCTTCTGGTTAGCACCCAAATGCCTTACCCACTGTGCCACCAGGGCTCCTTAGAGTGTTAAACATAGCCATCACAAATTAAATTATAACTAGAGCTGAAGCAGAAAAAGATTTCTGTTTAATAAATATAATTTGTATTAGGGTGAGAAATAGATTAACAGTAGTTCTCATGTCAGGTATAATAACAATGTATTGACAAAATAGCAGATTGGGATGCGATTTCATTTTTTAAATCATGGTTGAATTGGGTAAACAGTTTGGCTGTAGGTACAAGAGTTTAGCAAAAAGTATTGAAAGCATTTGTGAGGAAGCCTCAATGGCTATATGAAATTTAGAGTAAAGTACTATATATTTTTATTAGTATTTGTAAGTTGCGTACTACACATCTTTTATGTCAGAAAAGTTTATAATAAATGCGAGTATACATGGATATTTTTTCAGATAGCCAATTGTTAGGTTAAGCAATCAGTACATTACAATTCAGAGGCTGTGAATTGTCTGATGCCGGGAGAGGTGGGAGAGCAGTGCGCTCCTGCGGAGTTCTCTTACCTGAATGGCGCGGCCTGGAGGCAGCTGGTCTGGAACAGGACCAAGATGCCAAGAGCCAGGAAGGGGGAGAACTTCCGGAAACCCATGACGCCTGTCTGCAAGGGAAGAATGACGTCACCGCCTGCACCAGTTCAAAGTTCTGTGAGCCCGCGTGCGTGGGCTTCGGTCCTGCTGCCGCCTCTAACTGCCTGCCTGGCTTCCTGGCTTCAGCTGGTCACTTCATTTCTCTTCGCCTTTGTTTCCTCATCATCAAGGTGGACGGCTGGAAGGACCAACGAGCCCGTGGCGCCCATGGTTTGACAGAACTTGGGGAGCTGTCCTAATGGAACAGCTGAATTGGGAGGTCTCAGTTCTAATGCTGGGCATGTTTCCACTGAGGTGACTCCCAAAGGCCCCTGTCACAACAGCACTCCCGTTAACGCCTGTCTTTTCAGGGTCTGGGAGACGAGAGTGTCTCCCTCAGCGGAGCTTTTGCATCAGTGCGGGGCGTGGGGAGAGAGGAGGGAGGGAATCTCTCTGCTGGAGGAATCTCTGAGAAACTGAAGAGTTGGATTCCGGAGCTCAGCAGCTCCGCGCTCTGGCAACTCAGTCCCCAGCAAGAACCAAGCTTAGTTTCAGTTGGGACCCAGGATTTCGCTCTGCGCTCCCTGAGCGTCAGGGGATTGCAGTTAAAGGCTCAGTCTCTTAGTCGTTGCGCCCGTTTGCCACTCATTCGCTCTGGTCTGGTTCTGCACCAGTTTCCTGGGGACCACCAGGCACCAGACGCGATTCCTAAACGCACAATCTGGAAAGCTGCTCCTGCGACCCCCTCCGCGGGAGCCGCAGTGCAGAGATTGACCTAGGCATGTGTGCAGCCGGAGAGCGCAAGACTGGGCTCCGCAGCCGGGCGGGGGAGAGGAGCAAGGAGCTCCTAGGTTGAGCCTGTCCAGTGCTACCTGGGTCAGGAGCCTAGGATGGACCGACGGACCAACAGTTCCTGATGAAGGAACTGAGACAGAAGGAAACAGATTGGCAAGAAGATAAACCAAGGGGGCCGGGGAGGAGAAGAGGTAGAGAGAAATAGGATCACACACGACAGCATAAATCTCGAGGCTCACCTGGTGGCGGACGGTCGGGAGCGTAGGGGGCGGCGGCGTCCCGCGAGGGCGCTGATACTGAAGCGGCAGCGACACCTGGTTTTGGCAGTGACTCCCAGGTCTCCCAGAGCCAGAAGCTGCTCTTATTCTAGCCACCGTCGGTCGAGGGGGGTGTCCCCAAGCGCCGGGCAACCAATAGGCAACAGGGCCCCGTGCCCCAACCGGATTGCGTCACCTCCCACGCTCCCAGAACCTGGAACACCCAGCAGGACAGCCCCCCTGGGATTGGCATTGAGATCATTGATGGAAGTGGGGGGGGGGGATGGTAGGGACCAACGAGAAACGCCCTAAAAGTGAGCGGGTATTTGAGGGCACTTTGACATCACAGTAGATTTCACCTCTTCAGTGCCACCTGGTTTTGAACACGCGTTCCACTCCATCCCGGGCTATATGGTCTTGGGGGCAGGGTCTGGAATTAACGGGGCTCCTGCCTCCTCCGAGTCTGACCCTAACCTCCTGCCCTAGTGAGGCTTGGAGGGAGAATGCGTGGCTGGGTGGATTTCTGGCACAAGCGTAGTGTCTGACTCCCGCAGGTGGAATCGCCCACAGAGGGGCAGAGTTCGTGGGAAGGAGGAGTTGGAGGTGGGAGCAAGAACTGTCAAACCTGAGCGCAATTCCAAGCTGTTCATGGGCAAGTAACTTCTCAGCGCCTCAATGTATTCATCTTTGAAATGGGAACCATGTTCCTAACTTAGAAGCAGCCCAGTGCCTGGTCCCCAGCAAGATAGGAAATCTAAAATAGTTTCCTGACTCACGTAGTGGATTTGTTAAGATCTCGATTGATACTTTCTGAATCCCCACCTCACTGGGCTGGGCAGTCAAGGAGCACGGTCCACGGGTGAGGAGAGAAGGGCCTATGCACCCATCCCTCCCGTCCCCCCGCCCCGCCCCCCATCTGGGGAAGAAGAGGGAAGGCTCAGATGGCTTCCAACCTCTGTCCAGACCTCTCCTCCCCATTTCTACCCCGCCATCCATCACCTAACTCTCAATCTGCCTGCCTGAGCCATTTGCACAGCTGTCCCTTGTTTCCGGCTGCTGTTTGCCAAGATGCCCTAGTGGTGTTTGATTCCGGTTCTGCGCTCTCCCTCCGCATTTCGGTCCTGGACTAAAGAGAGGGGATGGTTTGACAGTGCTGTGAGGTTTTTGCCTATATCAAAGTTCACACTCACTCCCAGTCACCTTCATCTACACAGGCACTGTGGATTACTGTCTTCAAACACGTGCCCACCCCGCGAATCACCAAAACAAACATCCAAACTGGTTGCGGTGCAGTCGATTCTTTCCGACCCGCAGCGATTCCACGTGTGTAGAGAGCAGCACTGTGCTCCACAGGGTTTTTTAAGACTGTGATCTTCGCGAAGCACTGGAACTCACAAAACAGACCCCAGCGCACAAGTTCATTCACATGGATTCACTCTCAAATGCGCCGCAACCCAGCCTCCAAGTCTCTCGTGCAGTAGCGTCCACGCACCAGAAGACGACAACCCGCGCCCATCACACCCGCACCCCCTCTTGTGAATAGGCGCGCTCTTTCATTCACACTCAATTGCGCACGCCCTCGAACCCTCTTGCACGCTGCACAGCGGCATCTCGGGACCGCTCCACCTGAGTTCCGGGCTCTGGAGTGGTCGGAAGGTCCCGGGACCCGACTTGTGACGGGAAGCGGGTGGGGTGGGGAGAAAGAAGCCTCTCAGCCAGCTCTGAGCACGCAGCGCAGGCTTCGCAGCGGCTGCTCCAGAAGCTCGGCTTGTGGGTGTGGTGAACGCAGCAGGGGCCTCCTGGTGGTGTATGTTGGGGGAGGCAAGGACTTGGCTTCGCGCTTTCCCGAGACAGGGGAGAAATCACCCCAACGTACGCTGTGAGTGACCCGATCCACAAAACTGCAGGTACCTCACCCAAGTCCCCAGCAGCCTAGGCATATCCTGGGACACACCTGCCTAGCACCACACCTTTCGGCTCTTGCTTAGGTTGGTGGCCTCCGGGCTGGAGGATTCAGAAGCAAGGACGTTTAACTTCCGAGTTTCCCTTATTCCACTCTTCTCCTTGTTAACCTCTAGGGCGAGACTGCAGTGAGAGAGACTAGAAGCTCACTAGGGTTTGGGAATCGGGTGTTGAAGCCTTGCTCAGGGACTACAAGCAAGGGACCTACAGAACCTGAGGACTAGAATTGCACCGAAGGACGCGGATGTGCGTCGGTCTCAGGGCGCTGAAAGACCAGCGGCTAGAGGGCTAGATATCTGACAGCAGATCCCGGCACTTTGCGCCCTAGAGACTGACAACCTGCTCCCATCACACTCGCAGTCAGGGGTGTGAGACCCAGTCTGGGACTTTAGGACTTTTCAGCAGTTTCAGTTCCAAATCCTGAACCGGGTATTGCAAGCCGAGCGTGGCGCGCAGTGCCAGAGTCGCCGCCACTTGGGCGGCGCATTTGCGCCCAGATGCCAAATACTTTTGCTGAGATATCTTTTCCCAAGACCAGAAGTTCTAATCTCTGGACATCCTGAAATTATTTGTAAATATATGTATACACGAATGTGCATTTTCCTGGAGAGAGAACCTGTAGCTTTTCCCCAGTGCAATAACTCACTGCCATGGAGCTGCTTCCGAATCATAGCGACTCCCACTGGGTTCCCGAGGCTGTAAATCTTTACGGGATTGCCCCATCTTCCTTCCGCAGAGCGGCTGTTGGGTTTGAACCGCTGACCTTCTGGTTAGCAGCCAAATGCAGTATCCACTACGCCACCAGAGTGCAACAGTGGCTGCAAAATGATTAAGAAACTACTACTCTAGAAGACTGCTAACCAGAAGGCTGGCAGTTCAAACCCACCAGCCACTCCTCGGAAGGAAGGTGGGGCAATCTACTTCCGTAGTGATACTGCCTCAGAAACCCAAGGAAGGGTCGCTATGAGTCGGGTCCGACTTGACGGCACATAACAACAACACTCTAGAAGCATTTTTCTTGGGCTTGGACTCACCCCTGCTTTCCCTTTGTGCCTGTAGCCTTCAAAACAGACATTCTGAAATCCCCTGCGGCTACAAACCACAGGCTGGTGCACTGTTGGGCAAGAACTGGAGTCTACACCCAGAGGGTGCTAGCGTGTTGTTGTTGTTATGTGCCGTCAAGTTGGCCCGACTCATAGTGATCCCTCCTTGAGTTTCCGAGGGAGCTCTGATAGCATAGTGGCTAAGTCAGTTGCCTGCTAACCAGACGGCTGGCGGTACAAACCCACCAGCCACTCCTCGGAAGGAAGGTTGGGCAATCCTACTTCCATAGTGATACTGCCTCGGAAACCCAAGGAGGGGTCGCTATGAGTCGGGGCCGACTCGACGGCACATAACAACAACAACAACATCACTAGGGAAGTAGATTGCCCAACCTTCCTTCCGAGGAGTGGCTGGTGGGTTTGAACTGTCAGCCTGCTGGTTATCAGTCAAGTGCCTTAGGCACTAGGCTATCAGAGCAATTCCAAACTTTATTATTACGTCAGTCTCTCCAGCTAGGGAGGAACTGAAATTTAATTTATCCCTTAAACACTCCTTGAGTTTGTAAGAGGTGCCTGGTGCTGTGCTGAGGGCCAAAGGTTAAGGGGGGAAAGAGTGATTTTCCTGGTCACTTAAGTGAGCCAGGAAACATTAAGTAAGCACTGCTCGGCCAGTGTTTGTTAAATGAGTGGAAATTAATTCATTCTGGCAATTTCACCGGCCAGTCTCATTGCTGTTGCAAGGCTCTAATCCCACCCTGCAGAAAATCCTGACCCGATTCGTAGTGTGGCATTTCTATTTAGATTTTGAAACAGAGAGCAAAGATTTCAACCAGACTCCTTCCATTTTATCTGGCACATGGAATCGGTACTCTGAAATTAGTTTCCAGGAATGAGGCAGGAAGTTTCTCCTAGGGTTCTTCCTAAAGGCGAGGGTATCCCGGGTCGAATGCAAAACTAATCTCCTCTGAGCTT